GAGGTACATAGAAATATTGTGTGTCTGGTACAAATATTCTAATTATTGGTGGTTTGAATATCTACTAAAATTCTATATTATTTTAAAATGAAGAAAGCAATTAAAAATTTGAAGAAAAAGTAGGATTTTTGTACTTCATTACGTATAAAAACTATAAGTTTTCTGAATTTAAGAATATATGATATCCTTTGCAGTTGCTCACTGTGAGTGGAAGAGGAAAAATGTGCTGATGGATAATATAAAATGAATGCCATGGTCTTTATTTCCTTGTAGAGTCCCACCGAGCTGCTGCTGTTCAAGGATGCTCCAAAGTTTGCATTTGGGGAGATGAACTCTCCCATGTGTCTGCCAGACTTTTATCTTTATGAAAATAAAATTGCAATATTTGAAGGGAATTGTGTATATGTTTTCTCTTGTGTGTACCAATTCAGCTGAACATGTGGAGTACAGAACACACTCAGAAACTTACATAAATTAGATATTTTCTCAACATCTAGCCGTGTTCTATTCAGGTTTGTGATGCAATTCTCAACAGAGAAATAAACAGATGGCAGCAAATTCATACAGCATTAAACCAAAATGGAAAAGAATTTGCTTTATTTCACAAGAATTTGCAGTGGCAAAGCAATTCTGTGACCAGGGCACAAAAAGCTGCTTCAGAATTTCCCCTTCCTGGGATTTTAGCAGCGATGCTGTCAACCCTCCTATATCCTTGCCAGGGAGAGTTGCATTTATGGGGCATAAATAACCTAAGCACATTCTGTTGCTAAATTAATATTCATTTCTAGGTTCTTGAATGTGTTTACCACAAACACTTTGTTCTCTTCAGCTTAAATAATATATTACTTCAGGGACTAATTCTGTGGCTTGTGTTTGGAAATATAGACCCATACATCAATTGTTGGCTATAAATTTACTTGAATCCCATCGTGTTTTCCAAGTTCTAGTGCTGTTCTCAGATCGTGTTAATAAAGAAAGCTTGTTGTGAACCCTGAAAGAGATCATTGTGTTTTATTTCTGAAACGAGAGTTAGAGTTTAGTTCTTCAATTTAATTTCTGGATTAGTTTCCTAAATATTCTTCTCAATACTGTTTAAACAGAAAAGAGTTTTGACAATGGCTGATTTAACTTTTTTAGCTGAAGAAAAAAATTAATGGGTAACTTTCTGGTTAAGTAGTTTATTTTTACTACTCTAATCTGAGTACCATTTTTTGTTAGCCCAGCTCAACCCTTAAAAAATTAGTTGAAAATATTCTACTTTGAGGAAAACCAAAGTTTTATCAAATCTGTAGTTGAATAGCCTTTGTGTTTTGTGTTTTACTTTTCTGCAAGTGTGTCCAAGCAGTTTCCATGCCTGCAGCCTACTGCTTTGACTGACATCTCTCACGTTGCCCTCTGTCCCTCCTCTCTGCCGTGACCCGGTTGAAGTTGCACTGTCTCTTTCCCATTGGACTTAGTAGTTGTTAAGGCTGTAGTCTCATTTCTTCTCAAGACATGAGTGAGGACGATTTGCACTCTTCCTCTGTTTCCAGGTGTCCTCCCTCTAGCGCTTGGTGAGGCTGCACCATCTGTCCCTGTGGTGGAAGTGAGATGTGACGTTGTGACCTCCTGGTGGAAGCCCATCTGGGGAGTGGTCGAGTCATCGCTCTCCCGTGCCTATTGTTGAGTGCTGTTCACCTGTGAAAGCTTTGTCAGCCAGAGACCCTGAGTGAGGATAAAATGAATGGAATCCCCCACCCTGCCCTTATTATTGGCCTTTATCTCATGTCATTTTCCTCCTACCCAACCGCTACCTACCAATGTGACTTTCTCATGAAACTTGAGAGATACATTGCCATTTCCTCACACAAACTTTTATATTTACTCTTTCTTTGTCTGGAAACTTCTTTCAGACAGCCTCCTGGCAGGCTCCTCTGTGTCATCCACAGCCCCCCTCAAAGATCAGTTCATCCAAGAAGATGGCGGACTATTTCTTTGATCCTCTTTTCCTTCACCTTGTTATAGTTTTGTTCATAACTATTCGGTTACATAAAGTTTTAATATTTATTTTTTCATTTAAAAATGTTTAATGTCTCCCACTATAATCTAAATTTTATGATGGCAGGGATATTGTATTGTTTATCCTGTATCTTCAGAATTTAAATGGTACTTAGCATGTACTGGGTCTTTCAAGAAATGTTTATTTAATAAATTAATACACCAGTATTTATTATTATGGATAATTATTGATTTTGATATATTTGTCAATACAATTAAGTATATTAACAGATGTGTTATTATTTGTTTATTCATGAAATAATTCCCTGTTAGTCATATTTAATTTGATGTGAAATTTTCTAATATGTTTGTTAATCTTTCTGAGATTAACCTATAGATTTTTATGATACCATTAAAAACTTCATAAGGTAAACTGGAGCCATTGTCTAAGCCTTGGAGTTTTCTACACAGTAAAAATTATCTGTTTCTTGAAAATCTGAAAGAAATCACTGATAAAATTATTGAAACTAAGATAATTCTTTGAATAATTTTCCTAGGAACATTAAACTCCTTTCCTAATTAACTGTGTAGCCAGATACTTGATTTCCTCTTTCTCAATAATAACAATTCAATTTTTTCCTCTAAAAACACCTATTTTATTAGTAGTTTTAAATTTAATATCAATGGCATTTTACATTTTATGATAATTAATAGTTTTTGTAATCTTATGCTTTTTTCATTCCCACAGATGTGAATCAGTTTGTGTGTGTACCATCCGTTAAATTAGCCAAAAGTTACTTCTTCCTAGAAAACCACAAATATTTTTAAACTACTTCTTTTCTCTTCCTTGCCTGGAAGAGAAAAGAAGTACCTTCCACTCATTCTTTATGACCCTGATTAAGTAAAACTTCCCGGGGAAGTACCCTGATTCAGTTCAGCAAGATTCTGATCCGCCACATCGCACTGTAGTGCTAACTCTGTAGAACTTACAGCAATTACTGAGAAAAAGGAGCAAGGTAAGTGTAATACATATGAATATGTGTGGCTTACAAGGGGTTTGTGAGAAGTTTCCGTGGGGATGGTAGTAATTTATTCCTTAATTTCTTGGTGCTAAATAGATTCTTATTTTGTGATAATGTATTCAGTTGTGCAATTTTGTTTATACCTAAAGTGCTTTGATGTCCCTTTTCACATAAAGTGGATTTATAACTCAAATTACTATTCTTAGCTTTCCCATTATGCCACTGAGCATTTCACCACAGTCATTCCTACTTCCTAAACACAGATATCCCGGGACTCTTCTGAGGCCTTTTGGGACTACAGAAAATTTTAAACAAGAAAGTAGCATAATAAAATACAAGAAGGGTAAAGTTGAAAGTAAGGACTATTTAGGAAGTTATTTCAGTGGTTCTCTTGAGACTTTGCTTCTGGCCAGGATGAGTTACAGGGGCCAGATGTACCACTAGGCTTGACTTAAATAATGAACAAAATACAGGAGACAGTGGGTTTTAAGACACTGGACATCACACAGTGGTTCCTGAGAGACTGGAAGCAAGTGAAGAAGGCCTAAATTTCCCAGCTGAGTTCCTTGGTAGAGACTGAGCCACTGGTCCCATGCAATGAGAACACAGGGAGAGCCTGGTAGAGCCCAGGAGTGGATGAGATGCAGCTGACCTTTGGGGAAGGTGGAGGCAGTTGGAGTTCAAAGGCAGAGGACTGGAGAGAAGAGGGCTGCTCTGACGAGAGGTGTGCTATGTAGAGCATCACCCGTGAGTACTCCAGCGAAGAGTGATCTGCTCACATATGCAGGGAATGGCTTGAGCAAAATGAAAGGGTTAGAGATAAAAGTCTTAGCAGCCCTGCAGGACACGGAAAAGTGCATTTTCTTACTGGCCAGAGTGGAAAATCTATGATAGCTTGAGTAGAGTACCGTGTCGCGGCTCACTTGTGGGGAACAGCCCTAGGCTAAAGGCCAGTCTGGTCTAGGAAAGCAAAGCTTAGAAATAAGATGCACGAGAATGTTTCTAAATAACTGAACCCAGAGGGGGGAAATCAAGAATATTTATAGCAATACAAAAATATCTAGCATCGAACAGGGTAAATTCATAATGTATGAAATTTAATAAGAAACTAAGAGAAGCTGATATCTATGAGCCATAATACGTAAGGAAGCAATCATTTAAAATCTACCCAGAAATAAAGCAAATGCAGAATTTGTAGGTAAAGGTGTTAAAAGTTATAACTTTGTTCTGCACATAAAAATATTAGGTAAAGTCATAGAAGTTCCAAAAGATTCAAATAAGACTTCTAGACATAAATCTACAATGTTTGAGAGAAAAAGTACCCTGAATAGAATTAATAACTGATTAGATATTGAAGAATGAAAGATTAAGAAAAGGTTGCATGGGAAAAGGTAGCAATATAAGTTCTCTGGAGAGGAAAAAAGTAGACAGAATATCAGTGATCTTTTGCAAAACCTCAGGGGATTCACTATATATGTCATTAGACTTCAAAAGGATGGCAGGAAGCAAGACACTCACATATGAAGAGACAGTGGCTGAAAAAACTTCAAATGTTAGAAAAATTTTAATTTGCAGTTGTAGCAAGGCAAATAACTTACAGATGATTAAAAACCAGTGGTGAAAAATTTTGAAAGGTTTCCATTAAGAGAGACCAATTCTGTACAAAGAAAGTTGAAGATGATAGCAGATTTTTTCTTCAAAAAGAGTGATGAACATAGTACATATTTAAAGTGCTAAAAAACTCAGACTAAAATTCTACCAAGAGAAATTATTTTCTTAAAAAGAAGATAAAATATTTTTATGCATTCAAGAGCTGAGACAATTCAATCAGCCAATTTACATTGGAAGAAATATTTTACAAATCTTTTCTAGTAAAAGAAAAATGCCTTTTGAAGAAAAGTCATGTATTTAAGTATTCCTTGAATTTTAAATCAGTGTTGCATAATTTCAGCATGCAGATATTTCATATATTTTATTAGCTTATATGTGATTATTCATTTTTTGGAGACTATTATAAATGACACCTGTGTTTAGATTTTAATTTCCAATCTACCCCTGCTAGTATATAAACATAAAATTGATTTTTAAATATTAATTTTATACAGTGAAATCTTGCCACAGTTTGTGGCCATCATAAAATACATTAACCTATTTTCGGATAGAATTGGAGTTTCTAAGTCGGGTCCACGGATGAGAGGCGGAGCTGAGGTTTCTTGTACTTTATTTTGGGACAGAATCGGGGAACAAACTACGTGAAAGGTGTGTCAGCTGCGAAGGACACCACAGCACAGGGACAATGCCCAGACAAATCAGCCGTGGCCTGGAACCCACGGAGTGGACCCAGCGCGTGGCATGGGTTGAGGACCCGGAGCTGTGGGCGGTTCCTACCATCTCTGTGTCTTCGGGCTTGGTGGAGATTGTACCGCGCCAGCCCACTTTGAGCGATCTTGCGCAGACGTCTCCATCCACCTCGGGGTTCCTTCCCAGGGCGGTCTCACACCTGCCTCAGTCTGTGCTTCTCTTCCGGGGCCACTGAGACGAACGAGGTTTCCACGCAGGCCCGACGTGACTCAGTGCTGTGGAGCGAGCCGTGCGTGTGCAAAGGAGCTCTGCCAACCGTGGGGAGCAGCTGAGCAGCGCTTCAGAAACACCTCTAGGTGGAGGAGTAAAAGAAGCTCAATAAACACAAAGCTGGCTGTGTGCAGTTAGACTGATACACGATAAAGAGAAAGGTTGATAAACAGGGAAAAGGAATTTTCAATCATTGTCTTTACCGAGAGGACTGCTCTACAGGAAAGAGACTAAACTACATTTATCATATTTAATAGAACTAAGACAGGTGGCAGAAATATTATGAAAAGCAGATTTAAAAGCTATGTAAAAGGAATTTCAGACATTAGAGCTGTTCAGAAATTGATACACATTTTTACATAATAAATACCTCTTCGGCAATAGTGCAGGACACAGATAGAAGGAACGCACATCTGAGACGCTTTAGTAAAATATCTGGACTGTTGGGTTCTTGTGGGAAAGGATTTCGAAGTTGCTTTCTCTTTCTTTCAAAGAGTTCTACCAAAGTAGGTCACCAAGAATATTTTCAGGAGAGGGAAAACACTACCATAGAAACAGAAAACTTTCAGCTTCTCTTAAGGAGCCATAAAAACTTCATATCCCAATAAGCATTTTGAAAAATACCAGCCCTATGGATGAAGTAAAATTTCCAGAGTACCCCACTTAGAATATAGGGATCAGGTTATTTTGGTTTTTTTTTTTCAAGAATAATAGAGATGTACTCTTTCCTTCTGTCTCATCAGAGTGTTCCAGAATTTGTCCAAAGAGTAGCTGTTTACAAAAATTAGCATATTGCTTTTCTAGCCCTGTAAATTAGCATGCCTAGGTGGCTCAAAGATATTCTAGGCTTCCAAAAGCTCATGAGAATGACTCAAGCTGAATACATTTTTGCTTACACAAATTTGTTGCTAAGCAGAAAATTTGGTACATCTAATTATGTAATGCTACTTGTTCCTTTCCCTAGGAAACGCCCCAATGTTCATGAAGTTAGCAAACCCAAACTCGGCCAGAGCATGCTTTGTGCTTCTTTCTTGATACTGGGCAACGGGGTGGTCTGTGAGACCAAGAAAGGATTCATTGCCTCCGACATTAGACGCTGAACCTAAACAAAATCCTCTGTGAATGGGTAGTTTAAACCATGATGCGTTAATGGTGCCGGTTTAAGGAGCCCATTCTTTCAAAGGACCTGAATTGTATTTGCTGCTAGCTTGGGTGCTGATAAAGCTCATGCTTCAGAACTTACAATAGTTAGATATGGCATCTCAAACAAGATTCTTAAGCTGCCACTACACTGACTCTGCTACTGATGTTGGTCCTCTTGATTCCGTGACATGCGTTTGGGTCTGTGCCACCAGCCTCTATGGTCTTGAGTCTAGAGGTGACCCCTGCAGGTAGAGTTGCTTTACCCCTGAGAAGTCTTAGGCTGTCTCCTCCTAAGTGGCCCATTGTCCCAGAGTGGTAGTGGTGGAATTCTAGGCACTGCTCTTCCTTTCTATTGCTGTTCTTTCTTTCTGCCCTGAAAGCTTTCCAGGCACTCAACTGGAGAGACTGTTGTTTCTGTCTTTACTATTGACTCTAACTTGATATTTCTCATCTGACATTTTCTTATTATGGAAAGATCTGTGTGAATGTCTTGGAAGACACTTTGACCTCTCCACTTTTAATCATTGATGTATTTCTCAGTCTCCTGGGTTTCTTTTAATCTTCCTTTGTCATGAATTATTTTAATATTGACATTTTTGCCTGTACCTTTCTCATTAGCATGCATTTTGAGAACTGCACAAACAGTAATGTCAAAAATAAATTAATATTGTATGTCTGTGAACTCTCATCTGTCTAACAAGTTCTTATCCAAGTTTTCTTATATTCTTCAACTTGCAAAAAGATAATGAGCCAGTTAATTAATATACTTTTATGTGTGCTGAACATTAGGACAGGAGTGAGAATTTTTGCCTAATGATAGCAGCTATTACTTCATCAGTTCCAGTATTCGATAGGATTAGGTGGATGTAAATTTGAAGAGTAGTAGCAAATCCTGGATGTTTTCAGACTTATAGCAGATAACCTAGACAGAACCAACCCTCTATACCATAAGAAACAAAATAAAGTGAATTAAACTCTAAGAGTATCTGAATTTGGAAGGTTACATTAGCATCACCCAACAGGTTAATGTTTTTTCTTAAATTTTTTTTCGGGTATTGGGACTCGAACTCACGACCTCACACTTGCCAGGCAGGCGCCATGCTGCTGAGCTAAATCCCCAGCCCAAGAGGTTAATGTTGAGCAGACATCAATCTTCTTTAGCTTGGAATCTCTAAAGCTTTGGTTTAGAGGAGCTAGAATAGTTCGATGAATTCAAATCAATCCTTTAATGAGTCAGTCTACCTTGGGCTGAATGTGGGGAAAAAGGCTGATTTATTGCCAACTGTACAAACTGAATAGAGGTAGAGTATAGCTGTCCTGTTTTTTCTTGATCTTCTGGTCTGGTCTGAGCTTGAACTTGACTGGAAAATGATTGATCTTTCAATTGTCAAAATATTCTCCACCAAAATAGACTTCAGAATTTATCTCAAGGCTCCATCTTGATGATGAGATATTTCTAAGGGATGATTTTCTGTGTGTGCCAGGAATTGAATCTAGGGCCGTGTGGACAACAGGCAAGTGCTGTACCACTGAGTTACAGCCCCAGCCCCAGTTCCATCTTGAACAGGAAAGTTGGTGATATCAAAGTCTCTTGTAAGAATTAGCTCGTTATCTCACTCTTTCTACCAATGTTCTTTTCCAACTTATAAGAAATACAGGAAAACGGCTTTTCTCTAAATTAAAATCTTCTTAAATAGAGGGTTATTTCTCTGCAAAGAACAAAGAGTAATTTTAGTATAAATCATAACAAGGAGCTAGTATTTCATTTAAAGTAGAATGAGTGATACAGAATTTAAAATTTTGAAAAATTAGAAGTGATTCTTTTTTATTTTCTATTTCTTGACTTCCTCAATGTTTAATAGTCATACAATTAAACAATTTTCAGATGTTTTTCTTCTTTATCTACTTTTGGATTAAAGATACCGGTCCAGTTTTTTATTTTCCAGCTCTGAATTTTCCTATGTACAGATCCAAGGCCTTAGTACGAAAACATTAAATGTTAAGAACTAGCTGAAGACCATCTTGTCTTGTTCCATTATAGAAGAACCACAAAATATGACACTTGGTGAAATTTGACTTTCCATATAATTTTCTATGCAAGGATACAATTTCTTTATAATTTGCTGTTTTCTGAGCCAGTTTCTTTATTAGCAAAATGTCTATTTGGCAGTAATACATTTGTCCCTTTGAAAAATGTGGAAAAACTCCAGCCACATTTCAATTATCAGTGATTTAGTCCATAATATATAGTCAATGGCTGATGAACCCTCATTTTGGTCTCTTTTTGACTCATCTACTGTTTGTTCAACTGAGAGAACTTACCAGGTGCGGGGAAGTGCGGTAGGTGTTGAGGGACACACAGACAGAAAAAGGAAGAAATACCATCATCAAGGACAGTGGGTGACAGTCACATAAATTCCTCAGCATGTGAGTCGCTACATCAGGAAATGCTGGCTTCTCAATTTTTCCCTTTCTTTCTGAACTTTATGAGGAGGGAACAGGATATCATTGGCCTGTGTACATAAAAAAATGAGGTAAAACAAAATCACGAGACAAACATACTCATTTTCTATATGAAAGAGCAAAGGAAGATCAGTCTTCTGACCTTGTCAACATGTTGTTGCCCATTATTTCCCCTGGGGAGTTTGTTTTCTTTTTTTTCCAGAAAATACTGGATTTCTTTGTTCTGGATTCCTTTGTATCTATCAGAGCTACAGTTAAAATTTTCAGTAGTTCCCAAGAATGATCACTATCAACAAGACTTTAGGACTGGAAACTACAGGCAGTAAATACTGAACTGATATGATGAAAATCAGAAAGAATAACAATTTTCACAAATGCAAATTATTGCATTTTTGTTGTATTATTGGCAAGAAAAATTAAATTTTATCATTTACTTAAATGAAATGATTCATTTTTATTTTGGGTTTTTAAGCTTTATGTCTGGGAATTTCTGAGATGCTTAATCTTTCCTCCATATGGTTAACTATTGTATTGTCCCCCTTAAAGTTTTCTCCGTTCTCTCCCTTAACTGGTTTTATATTGAGCTCAACCATGCATGCTACTTTTGTGTCATTTAATAAACCTTGTAAATAGAAATTCCACATATGTTCTCTCAACAGAAGTTTTGTCCTTTAAATGCAGATTACCTGTGAATAGGGATAATAATAACAACAAAACCACAGGAGGGAAACAGAGACAAAATTGACATTTGGCCTCAGATTATGTTTTGTGATTTGAGTTGAACAACACTGTAGTTGATATTCCAATTATTTGAGTTCTTCCAACAAAATAATGAGTGACAGAGTAGATCTGTCTTAAGAGATCTTAGAAACAGCGTAATTCCTGACATAACATGTTATTTACCACTGTATGGGAAATGTTTAAACTGGTTTGTTGTCCTTGTCACTTTAATATAAAACATTGAGCATTTGCTCCTGCTTATCTTACTATTCTACTGTGTTTCTCTGGGACTGGAAGAATAAAAATATAAGTAAAAATTTATAATTTTAAAAAGATACAGTTCAGCAACTGAATCAGTGCCTAAATGCAGAACAAGTAAGCAAATATAAGGATAAAGTCAAGAATAATTGTTCTCAAGAGGAGAGAAGAGAAAGGAGAAGGGGGGGAAGAGGGGGAGGAGAGGAGAGGGGAGGAGAGGGGAGGGGAGGGGAGAGAAGAGAAAAGACAGCTTGTAATGCATAGATAAGAGACTTGGATTAATTAATCGGCTTATAACCAATCACTTATTACGTATTGTTCTAATTCAGTTCTTTGTGTTTACTCATCTGAAAAATGAGGCCTAAACTTTCTATCTCTTCAGATGTTTTGAAAATGAGGTGAGGTAGAACGTGAATTATTGGACAGTAGCCACAAATGAAGCCTCTGTGAACTACAAAGCACTAAATCAGCACATATTACTTTTAACAAAAAGATGCCTGGGGAGTTCTGCCAATGTTCCTCCTCACAGACGGGAGGTGAAAGAGGACCCTGAGCTGTGAGTCTGGCCTGGGAGCAGGGCAAGAGCTTTCCACTGTAAGGCTTGGCATTCTGAGAAGAGGGTGTGGCCAGAGAAGGGGGGACTTTTCCTAAGAAAGGACTGTGCGCCACTGATGGCTTCTGCGGGACTCATCCTCAGTCTGTGTTACAGGTTTGCTTCTGTCCACCTGGGCTCCAGCTCTGTCTTGCTCTGAACATACACAGGAGTTCCTTCGTACTGCAGACCAGCGCCCCGCGCCGGAAGCAGGAAGGAGCCGCTGTGGAGGAGAACGAGCGTGTTCCAAGCAGCTCCCAATTGAGGCCCAGGTTGTGATGCGCAGTGCAGAGACGCCGGTTTGAGGGCAGATCTTCCAGCGCCAGGGAGGAGTAGCTGTCTCCGGAGTCCTGTCTGATGCGCTGGAGGAACCTTCAGATGGGACGGTGATAACATGGGGTGACTGTGACCGTCACGAAGTCTGTGCTACACTGATCAATTGACCCAGGCGACAGCTGGTCTCTCATCTTCCCTGCCTGTGTCTCATCCCTGGAAAGCATATGCTAATAAACAAAAGATGGTAATGCCAAGAGGGGTGTTTAAAGTGGGGTGTAGCCAGCGGGGGCTTTCCTTAAACCCACGCTACCTGAATGAGTTATGCAATTCGTTCCACACCGAAGACTGTCAGGATCGGGGCAGTTCCTGAGCTAGGATATTCTGTGATTTTCCTCCATTTATTGCAACAGCCTAGGACCCAAGGACAAATGAGTTCAGGATTCAACTGGAATTGGAAACTCAGGAATGACCTTTAATATTTTTTATTTTCCCCAATTTAAACCACATCAATCTTAAAAACTGCAAACAGCTGATATAGACGTGATTTAATTTTATTTGCCTTATTTTTGCTAGGTGGACCCATTTTAACTCAAATGGCAGAGGAAGAAGCAGAGACTCACTGATTAAATAAATGCCTTAGCCAAGGCCACAGAGCTAAGTCAGCGCCAGGATCTAAACCTTGCAAGTGAGCTTCTAAGAACTGTGAAATTAAGCAACTGCGGTCTCCACCACAGTGTGAGCGACGGTTTGGGTATGAGACGATAAAGTAATGAATGTGGATAAAACTTTAAAATCTCTGGATCAAATTTCTCTTTCTGGTATCCATCATTTTTTGCTAGGAGAGCAGTAAAGCCAGGAAATCGCCTTCTCAGTGGGCAATGTAGGAAGAAACCGCTTGAATCTCATCTCAAACCTTCAGCTCAGTCAAAGCAACCATCCAGAGCTGACGCGCAGCCATAGCTGTGAGAGTAGAAGTGGGTGGGCCAGTTGATCGTATCTGTTAAATGTCCCTCTGAAATAGCTCTGAGACTTAGTTTTTTGTCTACATGATTCCAAAGCTGTTAAATACCTACAATTGGTGCAAAAGACAGAGAATGTTTTTCCTTAAAAAACACTGTGATATATTTATGTAGTTAAATTATATTAGAAAAAAATATTACAAAGAAAATTCTTGGATACTGCTTGAAATTTTAAGGTTCCAGAGGATACTTATATTCTTATAAAGAAAATATGTAGTGCCATGAAATCCTGTCTTAGCATAATATGGACACCTATTAGATAAGTGATAACGATTTGACCTGCACATTAAAATATTTGAAGGCTTCAGGTCCATTTTTTCCTTTCTTTTTTCAAATGTAGATGTCTTTTTAACATTAACTGGCTATATTTACTAACTATGACTATATTAATTTATTACACAGAAAGTTACTACTTGATAGCTATGTATAAAAAGAATAAATTACTTGTCTAGTGTAATTATCCAGAAAATAATTAATTTTACTGAAATGCAATTTTGAAATGAATGAAGCCATCTATATCCAAAGTAGGGTCGCTTTTCATGCTACTAGATAGTAGACAGTCAAAGCCCAGTAAGTGTTATTTGAGTGACTGAATAAATAGATGGGGATTATCTCTATACTTAGTTTACTCATATATAAAAGGAAAATAAAAATAGCCATGATACTATTATTTTAGTGAAGAAATTTATATACAATCCCTACTGCAGTGCTTGGAGTGGAGCTGTCACTTAAAATCAGTAGGTGTTAAACAAACATCAACTTCCTTTCCCACATCCTGTTTTTTTTTTTTTTAATTTATTTTTAGTGAAACTCTTTCTGAAATGTTGCTCATACTTTTCTGTATCTAAAGTAATTTCCGTGTAGACACGCACAGCCATGATTAACATTGTTGTCTTAGTGTATTCTAAGAACAGTAAGCTTCATTATTCCCTTCTTAATTATGGGGAAAACAAAACACAGACAGGAAAAACAATATTTGGAAAGTTGGGTATTCAGGAGCTGGAGGACCTGAGGTTTCAATCTAAGCATTCAGACCCCAGAATTCATATTTGTAACTACTGAACTGGTTACAGATACCAGCTCTCACTAGTACTTGTTTGTCTTACACTGAATATTCTAAATGCTCATTTGTTGTGCCTTTAAAGGTTCTGGACATTCTCCTTGATGATTTTTGTCCTATATCTTATTAACAGGTAGCAGTTTAAATCTTTTTTCCTCTCACAGCCAGCGAGCAAATGTACTCACTTCACTGTCTGCAGGCCTAGAGATCACATAACCATGTTTTAAAGAATTCTGTGTAAAATAAAAGTAAACATGCCCAAGAATTAATTCTTTTCTAAAAAATAATCAGGACCTGGGCTACTAAGGCAAATTCATTACTAATCGAGCAAACACGAAGTGCTGGGCATTGGGCAGCTCACACGAAGAGCAAGCCTTGCACCTTACCCTGTGGCCTTTACACCCCCGTCCTATGCGGCAAATATTACAGAAACGATGAGCTGTGTGTTTACGGAATACTCATTTTTGAGTAGAAAAGAGATAGTCCAAAAGGCAACACACACACGCCCTTTGAAAACAGATCTACAAACCCCAGAGTAGAAGAGACACCCACCGCCCTGAGTCAGCAGCTACTCCTTGCATCTTCGGGAAATGCGTAGAGACCACTGGGAAAACAAAGCAGCGCCCTCCTGCAGGACAAGCCCAGGCCGCGTCCAGGCAGCGGGATTATGACAGAGCTCAGCAAGGGAGGGTTCTCACATCTAAACATCCTTAACGGGCTATGAAAAGTGATTTATAAAATTAACAGGGAGGACCGTATGGCACTCTCACAGGACACTCACAGACGGGCTCCTTTCTCTGCATATGAAAGAGCGCAGAAGGCCGCCCTGACGCCAGTGCACGTTCTGCTTGTTATCCCCCAAAGGTACCCGGGCGAAGTTGCGCAAGAGGATGCAGACAGTGAGCTCCCACTGTGTGGCACCAAAGCAAAATAAGAAATCGGCAGCCAGGGTGCATGAGCCCCAGGCGGTGCGTGGGACACTTGGCCACGGTTATTTCATGGGACGCTCCCGAAGAGCTCTTTGATGTCTCCCTCATGAAGAGGATGCCAACTTCAGGGAGTTTAAATATCTGATGTCACTCAGTGAGCAAGCACAGACCAGGGTTCTGACCCACAGCGGGAAATTACAAAGCTCAGCATGAGGCAGTGAGAAGTCAAGGCGGCTTAGGTGAGGGAAACACGCGCTCCTGAAGTATGTGCTCTTGTCTGATCCAAGTAAGCGCACTGACGTTAAAAACAGTGACTTTCTACATCCCAGAACTATAATAGCAAATTGTCTGCTGAAGGCACAAAAACCAAGTGACATAGGTAGGGTTCAAGAGACTCGATAATAAATTTTAAAAGATAAAACCAATTTAAGAAATCCTTTCCCCAAACAGCACAAAGCAGTCCTAATCAAACAAGTTAACCACATCTTTGCCATGTAGGATGTGATGAGAACAGTATTTAATGCATGTATTGAAGTCGTTTTACGCATTTAATACTAGCTTACATTGTTTTTGTTTTGTTGCCAAGTTACTGACCAACATCTTTAACAGATGAACTGTCTCCTTGGAGCAAGATTTCCTTGGGAAACCTGTGAACAGGTAACATTTGTGTAGGAGATCCTAAAATTCAAACACTGATGGAAGCAATTCCAATTTTTAGAGGTCAAAGACTATGTTTATCTCATAGGAAAAACAGAAGAATGTTCTAGTTCCTTCATTTTTATATTTGAATACAATTTAGACCATTCTGTAAGCAGTTGTTGGCTTTCTAAGACTCAAGTTATTTCTAAATATACATTTTATATGGAATAATGTTAATTCTAGCTACCTTTTACCACGTTCTCCAGTGATGCTTCCAAGTTTTGAAAGTGACAGATGTGACTTACTTCCTAATAACTAGCCTTTGGATTTTTCAACATGTTGTGAGGCTTTTGTGTTGCACGTTCTAGCTTTATGATAATGCGATACCTGTGGGTATAATGAGGGGGAATCTGACAGGACCATCATCAAACATTTATTACTACACACCCCTCTCAACCATCGCTCAAGCAGCCTGAAAGTCAACCACTCAAGATTTAGCTCCTTGGGTAAAGGACTGCCCAGGAATCACTGGTGCATGGGATTGCACACAAAGACGTTTTCCGTCTGTCTTGAGACAGAAAATGTCTATGACATATGAAAGTCATAATGATAATAATGTCACAAATGATAATAATGTCAGCCATGTCTGTATCTGAACTTCTCTGAGATCAAAGAGTGATGTTAAAATTTATGATGGCCGCAAAGTGTAAGGCACCATTGCCACTTACATTTCTACCGTGAAATTAGCAAATAACTACGGGACCGCACAGAGCCCACCTACGGTGCGTCCAGGCTTTCTTTCGCTGTACCCACAGGTACAAACCACACCTGGAGAGGGCACTGCATGGGTCTGGAGAACTGTGGGCGATTAGTATATGGCAGGAAAGACAGCACTGGCTCCTTTCTGGTGCTAGGCGGGAGGAGAAGCTGAGCTGTTGTGTGCTATCTGGGAATACAAGACGGGTACCAGCAGGCAAACACTGAAGGGAAAGGCAGGTCTGGCTTCACAGAGGGGGCTGTTCCCTGTTGGTCAGAGTTGGTCCGCAGTGGGGTATACTGCAGTGTTTTTCAGAGAGGTTTTACCATAACGAACATTCAGAAAGAGGCTCACTGATAATTTTGTAAGGTGCTCTAGCAGGATGTTCTATGCGCAGAGTTCTGCTTGCACCATGACCGGTGATGTCCCACCTCTGTCCCCCAGGACTGCATAAAGGACATGCCGCTGAGGCTTAAATGTCAGGGTACACTGGTGCCTCTCCCCCCTCCCAGGGGAGAGAGTCCACCCATTTTGCAGGGAAATTCTTTCTGATAGCCAATAATTTGCTGATTAACTGTATATAAATTAAAAGAAAGGTTAAAGCATGACGCTCAATTCGTTTATTCAGCAATTTGCCGGTACAGTAGTGTTTCCGAGTGCTCTTGCGGTGACGACCCTGGGATGACGAGAGGCTCCAGAGAGTCCAGATGCAGCTTTGCACGTGTGGTCTCCAGAGGAAGGTGGCAAAGGCGGAGCGCAGTGGGGCTTTGGGCTGAGGGAGGTGTAGTGGACAAACGTCACCAAGACACCTCCCTCTCTCTCCTTTCTCCTTCCTCTACCTGCTCCTTCCTTCGTTCTTTCCCTCCTCACTCTGTCTCCTTCCAACTCTTTCTTCTTTTTTTGGCCCTGTCCGGTTGGGAAGATACTGCTTTTGTCATTCTTTTCTTCTGGGCCAGCTGGTGCAAGACTGCCCATGCTGTTGAGCTTCATCTGAGCATTCCCCTTGAAGACAGCTACACTAGTATATTCTCAGATGAGGTTTCTTAGAAATTATTGTTTTGTGTCTCAAATAACCCACCATAGTTATAGGTTTATTCAGATATTAGAAATTTGTTGGATATACTAATTAGTGAATAAAAGATACCATTTAGCATATATTTTGTATAGTTTTCCTTTTTCTCACCCAAGCAATTTTTATTTCCAATGTTTAATTGAGATGTATAGTATTCTTTAAAGTGTAGTATTCCATCTTCTGTAAACAGCCTGTGAATATTTATATCCCTTTTATACTTAATCTTTTTATAATTAAATTTCAATGTTTACGATAGAATTTTTGAACAAAGATAACATGTTTATTCAATACATTTACATGTCTATGATTTAATTGTGGGATCAATCATGAGTTAATAACTCAATTGAAAGCTGAGATACAGCTTTGTAGTGATCTGGAAATATTAAGTACATTTTAAAACTGAGCAAAGCAGAGCTTACAATTATACTGCGTGCACACACACACACACACACACACACACACACTGTAACTGCTGGAAATCAAACTATTGTCCCAAAATCACTTATTTTTCATAACAAACTGAATACATTTATTTTGTTGATTTTTGGAAATGTATAATTGTGCCAATTAGGATGTTTGAAGAAGGGGAGACATGCAGATCTAATGAATTTCACCTGGCGGAAGAACCTCCTGAAGAGTAGGAGGACCTCTCCCTCCGGAGAGCACGCAGCAGTGTCCCTACTGCTTCAGCCTCCCAGGCAAAAGCCCAATAGCAGGCACTCGCTCCAACCAAAACTCTGGGTGAGAATGTTCTGCGGTTCATTCTGTAACTCTGACGGAAAGCAAAAGAACACATGTGCTTTAAAATGACATAGACAATTACATGAATTTTAATGAAAAGCTTTTTAGGATGTATCCTGTGTGAGTTCATTTGCCTCACTTGCATTCGTGAGCTCATTCTCCTCACTTGAGGATTAAGACCCTGGGGGCATACGGTCCCCACGGTCCTGCCAAAAGCAGTATTGCTTGCAGTGCTGTGAAACAGGTGTTTGCGTTTTCTCCAGCTCAGAGTAGTTCCTTTGCTTCTGTGTTGGGTCCCTCTAGTCCCAGAGATTTTCCAGCACAGTATTTTAGCACGTGATGGGTGACAGAGATGGCTTACACAGTGCGTGAAGTGTTTTCATCTTCCCGTATAGTGACACTGACTTTGTTAAATATAGCTGGTGATTTGGGAGTGTCCAGCTGCTCCAAAGGCAGCTCCCCATTGGCGTGTGATTTTCTTAGGTGTTCGTGCTTATCTCTTTCAGAAGTGGATGGAAATTACATTCTCCTACTTGTATCTTCAAACCCATCACCTCGTGCCCAGAGACGTGCTGCCGATACCTTGCCGACAGGAAGAAGGGGCTGCGTCGGCGATAACAGCTGCGCTCCTGCTCCCGACCCCTCCGTTTATCTCCCGGTGCCACCTCCTGTGCCTGCCGTAGTCTTGCTGGGCATGCTTTGAAATGACAGCTCTGTCAAGCTTTCCGTGTGGTGAGGACATCCAGACTGCCACGCTTGCCAAATACAGAAACCGCACGCACCCAGCCCCCGAGTCACCTCGGCGCTGCCTTTCCTGCGGCCAATGGCAAACGAAGACACGTGAGCCGGCTGCTGCTCGTTCTGGGGAGAGACACGCTTTCTAAAGAAGGAAAACTATTTTGGAACTCCTGGATGTGACAACCTTTCTTGTTCACACTCAGTAAACACATTAGTTAGAGTCTTTTGATTGCCAATTAATAATTCCTTTGCCAGGAATCCTGGCATTGATGCTGTTTTTAGCCCTGAAAAATCCCCTGGGTGCAGTGAGAAGTCCAGCCACCATAGGTGTTATGCTCCCCAAGTGTGACAGTGTCCTTGGACCTAGGATAATTCACGAACTTTTCAATCAGAAAGCCCCGTGTTTTGCTGTTAGGTTTCAAGAGGAGGTGCTCCAGAAAACAGGAACAGAAAGGCTCGGGCTGATCTGCTTTCTGAGTCAGGTCACACCTCACGTCACTGGGCACTTGGACCGACAAACTCAGGGGACACAAGGACAAGGTCAGGAAGCTTGGCGAGGCAGTTACAGTCTGTGACCTTGGCCCAGACACCGTGTTCACCCTGGCCTGCAGGGAGGCCCGCGAGGCGATCACGGGGCGGGGAAAGGCTCAGGACTCGGAGCAAAGCCACGGGCTGGGCCGATGTGCGCTTGTCAGCTTGCTCTTTGCACTGGGTCAGGTCTCACGGAGCTGCTGTTTTTCTGATTGTGAAAGGTGACAGGTGGGGTTCAGACTGAAATCTTTTCTGACTATAATACAGGAAGGAATTGGAGAGCTGTATTAGAGGGAACAACTCCTTTTCATACAAATAAAACTTCCAGCTAAGTGATCAGATGATATAAATAATATATAAATAATATAAATATAGGGTCATCTCAAATGAACTTTACTTAGGAAGATGACCAAGTTTAGTAAATCGTTTCCTCTTTAAGCCCAGTGAACTATAGGAGCGATACCTGGTTATTACAGCTCCCAAAGCCAGGCTGCAAGAAGGTTCCAGTGAAAGCTCCGACATTTCATTGCCCCTCAAACGGCTTGCTAACTCTACCTGGGCCCCAGTTTCCTCACCTCAGAATGGGAAGGATCGCTGCACCAATTGTATGCGATTCTGAGACTGGAGTTAATTAATGATTAGTGAGTTAATCATATGAAATGCTCGGGATCCATCTCAGTAAACGTTAGGCGTTATAAATATTACTCCCTATAATTATTATAAATTTATAAATATTACTCCTTATAATTACCAATCCCCAAATGAAGCAACAGGACCAAGTGAATGAGATACGCAGATTTCAGGCCTTTGACGGAGATTTCCAATCTGGAGCAACCAGTACTGTGATTTTAGAGCCCCGTAGTGACTTTAGAGCCCAATACTGTGTTTGAAGGCATCCGTGTTAAGCAAAGTTCGTGTGCAGAGCAGGAGACAACGTGGTGAGCCGTCGGGGAGGAGCAGAGAGCTTCGGAAAGCTCAAAGGTGGGGCCTGTGCTGCAGGGAATTCGGCCCGGGCGGTTTGAGGTCAGGCGTGGAAGCACACCCGCAGCTGCCTCGCGGAGGATGGGGACCGCAGGACGGCGCCGACATCACCGTAGTCTCTTTCCTTGTCAACCGTCCGGTGTCTGAAACGGTGTTGCGCTGAGGCCTGTCACCGCCCGAGGGGCCGTCCGTGCGGTTGTCCTCGGGAAGGGGTGGGATGGTGCCCAGCTGGCCTGCGTGGGCACCAGGTTTTCAGGGCAGCAGGTGCGAGAGAAGCTCCCAGCGTCCTCCCGGGAACCAAGCGCAGCAGCGCTGGCGCTCAGACGGTTGCGGAGAGCACAGCCGCCGAGAGGCCAGGGGCAGAGCGGGCGTTTCAGGGCCGCCGCCTCCCCTTCCTCCGCGGAGACCGTCGCGGAGCCGCCGCCGCGCGGAAGCGCCCCTTGGAGCTGCACCGAGCTCCTCCCGCTGCCCGCGCCTTCGCGGCCACCTCCCTCCCCGCGGCCGCACAGCCGGGCCTCCTCCTCCCGCACGCGGCCGGCCTCCACCGCATCCCGGAGCCCCGTCCGCGCGGTCACTCGGAGCCCCCCGACGATGGATTCCTCTTTCCCCCATAGCCGGCCGCTGCGGAAGGCGGCGCCCCACCT